CTGTTTCTTCATGTGGGCACTTAGAGCTATGAACTTTCGTCTTAGCACTGCTTTCAAAGTGTCCCATAGGTTTGGGTATGTTGTGTCCACATTCTCATTGAACTCTAGGAAATCTTTAATTTCTTTTTTATTTCTTCCTCGACCCATGAATTGTGCAATTGGGTGTTACTTAATTTCCATGAGTTTGTAGGTTTTCTGTAATTCGTGTTGTTGAATTGTAACTTTAAAGCATGGTGGTCTGATAAGATACAGGGGTTATTTCAATGTTTTTGTACCTGTTGAGGTTTGCTTTGTTGCCAAGTATGTGGTTGACTTTAGAGAAGGTTCCATGTGGTGCTGAGAAGAAGGTAAATTGTTTTGTATTTGGATGGAATGTTCTATAGATATCTGTTAAGTCCAATTGGGCCATAACTTCTGCAAGTTCTTTTGTTTCTTTGTTAATTTTCTGTCTGGTATTCCTCTCCAGTGGTGAGACTGGGGTGTTGATGTCTCCCTCTATAAGTGTGTGTGTGCGGTTTTATTTGTGTTTTGAGGTTATTTTTTTTTCCTAAGGAAAGGAACCACATGAGGCAAATGCACACTTTATTACAGCAGCTGACCTGCAGGGCCCAAACCCAACTTTCAAGCACACTACAGGCACCACTAAAGGCCAGCACAAGAAACCTGCTTCCTGTCCTTTGGACCCTGCTCCTGTGTGTGTGATGCACAGTGAGCTGGCCTCACAGAGGACTCTTAAATATCAGAGAGGTCACTTCTGGGGGATGCACAGGTACTGGACAAAGCTCTCTGGGGCAGCCTGTATCAGGCAGCCTCCTGTGTTTGTGGGGACCTGGGCTCAATATCCAGGCTGCACACAGGGCTGTCATATACCATCTGCGTGTTCACCTTGTTGCCCACCAGCTCTCGGATGTTATTAATGCCATACTTAATCATTGTCGGGCGCTCCAGAGAGAGACCCCAAGCAATAACAGACACATTCTTGGGGAGGCCCATAGGCAGGAGCATCTCAGGGCGGAAGACCTCAGAGCTGCCAACTTCTACCCACTTCTTTAGACTTTGGTGGTAGCTGAACACTTCCATGCTGGGCTGTGTGTAGGGGTTGTAGGCGGGTTTGAAGAGCAACTGGGTGATTCCCAGCTTGGTGAAGAACTCCCTCAGCACACCCATGAGGTGGCCCAGGGTCAGCCCATGGCTTGCTATCACACCCTCAATCTGGTGGAACTCTGCCAGGTGTGTGGCGTCCAGCGTCTCATTCCGGAACACACGATCAATGGAGAAGTACTTGGCTGGTGTGAAGGGCTTCTTCTGAGCTAAGGAATAGAGAGTTCGGGCGCTGGCTGCTGTGCTATGTGTGCGAAGCAGGTTTTTCCGGGCCTCTTCTAGCTTCCAGGTATACTTGTAGCCCTGTGAGCCATAGCTGCCCTGAGAGTGGGTCCATTTCACCCGCTGGACATAGTCCATTGGGAGCTGCAGGGCCTCAGCGGGATCTTTCAGGAAGAATGCATCATGTTGGTCACATGCTGGGTGCTGCTGAGGCTGGAAGAGTCCGTCAACGTTCCAGGAGTTCTCAATAAAGTTGTCCATAGGCATCTCAGTGAACCCCATCTCCAGGAAGATCTGTCGGAACTGGGAGCGGACCTTGAGCAAGGGGTGCAGGTAGGTGTCCCTGAATAGGCAGGCAGACATGGCACTGGAGCAGTAGCTCAGGGTTTACATCATGATGAGGGAGAGCAGGCTTGTTCCTGCCCTGGGCCTTTGAAGCATTTGAACCCAATCCTAATGACATACCTCCTTCAACAAGGCCATCTCTCCTAAACTTTGCTAAACAGTTCCACCAGCTTGGGAGAAAACATTCAAATATATAGGCCTATATATAGGCCTTCTCATTCAAACTACCACCACTACTAAATAAGTATTCATGAACTTGTCATCCGCTGTGATAGAGTTAGAACCAGAAAAACAATGAGCTTTATACACACATGTTCCCTATCTGCATCCAGTCCTTTTAAATCCAATTTTAAATATCACTTCTTCCTCTCATTCTTTAGTAGCTTCCTCTTTAAATCATTTAGTATATATTTCCATTTTATACTTAATACTTATCAGTATTCCATCTCATTACTGTCAGTTTTAATATTCATTCTGTTAGTCTTTCCACTAGATTCTGTGCTCCAAGAAGCTATAAGAAACCAAAAATAGAGTGTCTCATTCAAGGCTTCAAAATAATCTAGGTGCTCAATAAACATGTAATTCTTTTAATCTCTGTTCACTGCACCTTTATGAACAAGAGGAAGAGATGGGTAATTAGCTCATTGAAACAAGGCCACTTACTGTCAAGTTTGAGGTTTCTTGAACTCTTAATTCAAGAAATAGATCAATCGCAGTATGTATTCAAACTTGATATTTTTCTTCTAAGTCTTTTTTATAATAGAAAATTATCTTAAACAATCTAAGCTTCATTTCTTTCATTTATGAATCTAGGAAAAAAGAAGAAAATAACATCACATGGATAAAAATAATAGAGAGCTTTTGCTTCAATAGCACTTAGCATATTGCTTTTCCTTTGAATTTTATATTCAAAATTTCCATATTAAGAATATGAACATTTAAATTAAAAAATTATTAAACATCTTTTATATGTTCACAGCTTTTAGTATATCCATGTATCTTTGAAGAATGTTCACAGTGCCTTAACTCATGGGATGGCTACATTACAGCTAACAACTGGTAGGCAATATATGTATATAAGTATAAGCTTTAACCAATTATTTCCTACTTCCAGTATAGGTACTATCTGAATGTTTGTTTCAGTCATTTTTCCTATCTTTAAATATTATATACGACGTTGCTTTATAAGGGATTTGTGCCTTTTGAGATAATGACTATTATTATATTTCTAATGTTTAAAATCTGCTTCAATTAGGTATTGTTTACATTTTAAAAAGTATAATGGAGAGCCAGTAAAGTGGAAAGATAAATACTTATTTTATTAATTACTAAACATACTGTGGTGGCCTGAATGAAAATGGCCCCAGTAGGGAGTGGAATTATTGGAGGTGTGGCCTTGTTGGAGGAAGTATACCACTCAAGGTGGGTTTTAAGCTTCAGATGTTCAAGCCAGGTTTATTGGCTCACTGTCCCTTCCTGCTGCCTGAAGACTCAGATGTAGAACTCTCAGCTACCTTCAGCACCGTGTCTGTATGCACACCACCATTTTTCCTGCAGTGATTATAAGAGACTAAACTACTGAACAATAGGTCAGTCCCAATTAAATATTTCCCTTATAAAAGTTACCATGGTTATGCTTTCTCTTCAAAGCAAATAGAGACTCTAAGATACATAATGAAATTAAAAATAAATAACAAATCTACATATTTTAAAAGTTTCATTAGATGTCTTTATTTCTAACATAAAACCTATATTATCTGCTATTGAATGTAAAAGAAAAAACTCTTTTTTTTTATTTTTCGAGACAGGGTTTCTCTGTGTAGCTTTGGAGCCCATTCTGGCACTGGCTCTGGAGACCAGGCTGGCCTTGAACTCACAGGGATCCACCTGCCTCTGCCTCCTGAGTGCTGGGATTAAACGCATACACCACCATGCCAGGCAGAAAAATACTCTTTTAAAGAAGTGTTAAATGATATAAAATTAAATGTTGAGGAACATATTTCTTATATAAGAAATTTAAATATCATGTCCTCTTGGATATTATGTGACAATATACTATACTTCACAACCACACAATTTTGACCAACAACTTGACCACAATAAATTACACAGGAGAATGAAATGTCTGGCCAGAGTCTTGGTTACAAAGATTCTTGGAACGAATTTCAAAACTATTTGTTATCCAAGGAAGTGTTATTATCATAAAGCAAGACATTCATGTGATGAGGTCAGCAAGCAAAAAAGTTATTATGAAGGATGGAACACATAATTGTTAAATATTGACAGAACTTTGCTTTTTCATGTCCATGAGAATCATGTAAAAGAAAAATATACTTTCAGATTCCCATTAACTGTAATAAAATATTTTAAAAATTTAAAATTTAAATTGTGATTAAATTATATAAAATAGGATGAGGGAGTTTGGGATTATTTAATTATTTTGTACTCAATTAAGATGAAGTATGAACACATTAACTTATTATTTTTAATGATAATTCCACAGGTTATATGAGCTAACTGAGGAAATTAAATTTATGTAGAAACTAATTTTTCATATAAGTAGAAGAAATAACCATTTAAATTCACTTTCAGCTGTAACCTTTAATGGGTAAAAATAAGAGATAGGGAAATATAATAAAAAGGTAAAAAATTTCTTGAATTATTAGCACTCTAATAATAAAACACTTTTAAAGAGTTATTTTGAGGTAGAAAATATACAGAAAATGAGAAAATTTTCTGAATTATTAGCACTCTAACAATAAAACACTACTAAAGACTTATTTTTATATACTAAAAAGTAAAAGTAATATTTGTGGCCTTGAGTTAAATAGGAGAAATTCTATATGTTTCTGTGTATGAAATGATGTATCTAGATCCACTTATGGAACATAAGAAGCTCTTAAGTTCAAGAGGAATGCTTATTAGAAGGGACATTCCTGTTGCATAGACTAAATATCTGAAATGCTGAAGATAGATCATAAGTACTTTGGCACCAAAAGGTAGGCTGGAATCCTTGTGACATTAAAAACATGGCCTAAAATTTTATTTGTCCCTTTTTTTCTGATAGCATGGCTATAGTTCCTGTTTTGTTACAGGGTTACTGTAGAATACAGATTTGATAAGTTTCTTAGGGTTTCTATTGCTGCATTGAAAACACTATGACAATAAGGAACACTGGGAAGGAAGAGATAGTTGGCTTAAACTTTGAAATTGCTGCTCATAGTCTAAGGAAGTCAAGACAGGAATTCATAAAAGACAGGAACCTAGAGACAAAAGCTGACACAGAGGGTATCAAGTGATGTTGCTTACTGGATTTATCCAATAGTTTGCTCAGCCTGCTTTTATTAGAACCCAGTATCACCAGAGCAGAACAGAAACCACCCACAATGGGCTGTGCCCTCCACAATCAATAACTAAGTATTAGAAAATATTTTGTAGCCAGGACTTATGGAGGCATTTCCTAAATTAAGTTTCCCTCCTTTCTGTTACGATAAATCTTTCTGCCAAAAGCCGCCTGAGCCCCACCGCCACGTGTGAGCTTTGCACCAGCTGCCCACCTGAGTTAGGACCCAAATGAATACACAGAAAATTGTATTAGGTTCAAAGCTGCTTGGCCAATGACTAGGATTCTCATCTGCTAGCTCAGTCTTAATTATCATAAATCTATATATGTTATAAGACTTATCGGACGCCTTATTGACATCCCTCCTTGCAGGTGGCTCACATCCTGCCGCTGGAGGAAGCAACGGGAAAAAAGGGAACCTTCCTGTTTCTCCTTTGCTTAAATATGAGTCTACTTCCTATGTCACTTCCTGCCTGGATCATCATTTATCTACTACATTTCCCAGAATCCTCTTTGA